CTCTGCCTAGGCTGCACTGTCGAGCGCAGATCCACTGAGCGCTCAACACAGACAGCACCGTCAGAAGGAAAGTTGATAAAATAAATTAAAAATTTTGTATTGTTCGATACATATGCGTACCAAACCGAAAGCACTGTATCGAACGGTTCAATATCGATACGAGTATCGTTGCACCCCTAGTATATATGTATGATGGCTGTATATATACAGCCATCTAAAACCACCAAGACTCATCTTTATTGTCACAGTTATTAAATACACTCTTATTCTACACAAAGGATAGCATTGCATTTGAAATCAGTGTAATCTTTCTGTCTTGTTGTGTAGATGGTGGGTTGGGGAGTGGCAGAAATGCTCAGCGACCTGTGGGAGCTCAGGCCAAACTAAAAGGACAGTTCTTTGCATTCAAGCATTAAGTGCGGAGGAGCAGAAAGCCCTGGAGCCCAGTAACTGTGAACACATCCCCAAACCTGAGTCACTATCCTCCTGCAACACACACATCCCCTGCCCAGCAGACTGGACCACTGGCAGCTGGTCAAAGGTGAGTGTGGGTCAGAATCTGAGGTTCAGGTTTAACCAGAATTACTTACAGCAACCTTCACATTTGGGGAAAATGAATTATTTACTAATCGTGCAGAAAGTTTTCTAGTTTTTTTTCTATTTTGAAAGCATTCGTTCACACAAAACATTTTCACATCTCAAGCTTTTTGAAATACATTTCAGTTGTTATACACATTTAGTGTTACTGATCATTTAAGACACTGCTGGTTGCTTAAATGTCTTTTGTGTAACTATTCTCTGACTCTATTACACATAGACACAGTGTGGAATAAGGCAAGAAGCCCGATTTAAGGGTGTTTAAATGTGAGCATTTATACCCTGACCTCTCCCTATTCTCAGCATTTCTCTGTACTTTATTAGTTTTGCCAGGCCTTTTTGAATGGATATACGGAAATCTTTTGTCCAGATCAAATTGTTTCTCCACAGCTGTTTGAAGGATGACCATAAATGTATGGTTTAGATATTCATCTCCTTCAGTCTTAACTGCTCAGCTTGTTTGTGACAAGGACTAGTTGAGAAAGACATAGCATTAAGTGAAGGTATGGCCGATTCCCCTTCCCCACACAGCACCAATCTTAACACCTCCTTAGCCTTCCTCAGCTACCTCCATTTCAGAACTCCCTGCTGTCCATCCTCCTCTCAGATTAACCTGCCTAGACACATGGCTGTCATGACTGGTGAGGTGACAGCTGGATCATCTACACTAAGTCTAGACCCCCAATCTCATCAGTCCTAAGGTCCTGAAGTCCTTTGCTGCCCAGCTGTCCTGGAACACCTCTTAAACTTGAGCTTGATGCGGGTACCAGCGCTATGGAAGACATCATCATATTGTTTTCCAACAGAGCTTTACACATTTTATAGTCTTTGTTATGTTTTTTAAGCACATTGTAAATCTACAGAGCTGTTACATGGCTTAATAATTGTTTTGTTTTTTTTTTTTTTTTCCTCTTACAGTGTTCACTGTCTTGTGGAAGTGGAGTACGTCACCGTAATGTTACCTGCTCTAGAAACACAGGGGTTGATTGTGACCCCCAAAAGAAACCTTTAGCTGTCAGTACCTGCTACATCCAGGAATGTCCACAGATTGTCGATAATTTTGGAGGTTTCGACTGGTCTGGAAGTGGCTGGTCCAGCAAAGAAGTGCTTAATGAAATAAACCCCATACCCGAAGTCAAACCTCCTGCCAAGTACAGCACCACCAGAGAGCAGCCAAGAGTTCATAACGACCTTAATGACATCGTTGAGGGAGATTTCCACTACCACAACAACATTGAAAATACTGATCACTCTCAGGACAACTATGTCCCGGTGGACGATTTTTACTATGACTATAACTTTATCAACTTCCATGAAGACTTGTCAGATGACTTTGGGAGCAATGGAAACAATTCAGTCAGTCACGGTTTGAGTGTTTTGCAGGAGGTCGAGCCAACCCACAGTGTGAAAGAAGATGCTCACATAGAAATTGCAGCCACTCCCACAGCTACTTCAGCCGTTCCAAAGCCCACTGCCTACACTTTGGAAACCGAAAATCCTCAGAACACAAAAGTGAACGTATCAAAGGGCAGTAAAAATGCAGCGGAAAAAGAGGTTTTGCAATCAAATTCTGAAAACTTGGATGACTATCTTTCTGAGGATTTTCTTCTGCCTGTGTCGACCACTCACTCTCCACTATTGTCTACAACTCAGCAATCAAAACCAGCGGCAGAGAAGCATGGCATTCTGTGGCTGCCTGAAAACATTAGTGCCGTGCCTAGTCTGGGTTCCACTACAAAGCAGCCTTTACAGGATGTGAAATGGGGGCAATATGCAGAGGAGGCTGAAAATAACTATGACAGCTTCAGTGAGGAGGAGAATGACACTGAGGATGTCACTATGACTCCAAAGCAGACTGTTTCTACTCCGAGACAACAAACAGCTATCAGTACTCCTGACTCTACTGTTGAAGGGGCTCAGGAAACAAAGGAATATGACAATTATGACTATATCTCTGCAGACCAGGAGGATGTCGAGAGTCCAGAACCTTCAGGTCCCCCCACATCAGAAACTACAATTCAAATTAAGACTGAAGTTCCACTGGATGAAAATACTGCAGAAATACCTCAAGCCAGTCGGTCAACATTATTTTCAAATGCCTTCACAATGGATGATGTCAACACGGATCAGACTAATTTTGATACATTATACGCCACTACCGAGAATTATTCACGGGATACCGACAGAGACCTCAGCACAACCTCACTTCCTGCCTCTGAGAAATCCATTCCTCCCCCTGTTTCCTCTTTGCTCATCTCAGGTAACCAAGAGGCCTCCACATCATTAACTGGAACAGCAATCATACCTCCTACTCAGTTTTCTCCAGCTGATTTCCCAACGCATACGATGAAACCGATTCCGTCAAAGCCAGAGTTCACTAAAACAACTGGAACGTATCCCACATCTCAAGCTCCGTTGTTTGATGTAGCGAATTATGACTACAACGAAATAGCCTTTCCACCCGTGGTGAGGAGCGGCGTTAACAGTGATCCTGGCTCTTCATACCAGGTTTCAACAAGCTCAGGAGCCACTCCTCAACACAGCACAACATCAGCACAAGACTCGGAGTCGCCCACACC